GTATGTGTCCTCCCTATAGATTCTCGTTACTAGTCGAACGCGGTGGCGCGGTATCATAGAATCGATTCGGACGTGTTTCTTCAGCCGATTCCCGAATCGACGAAGAATCGATAGCGAGGCGCGCCTCGGCCGAAGAGGCTCCGGTGGATGCGCTTTGCTGTGTCACAGCATCCTTTCCTAAACATTTCCGCGGTAATCCCGCCGGCGCGGACGCCGCGTTCCTCCTCCTTGTCCACCCCCGCCTCCTCCGGCTCCTGCTTCTCCGGCACCGCGACTACCACCACCATCGCAAGTCCTTTCGTTCCTTCCTGTTTCCTCCAACTTTATTCGGCGATCCTGTCTGGACATTTTTCTTCTTTTTCCTCGCCAGCAATAAACGAGCGACCCAGGTAGATTGCTGTCGGTGCAAAGGAGATACGTAAACGGATAGAAATGGATAAAGGGTGGGAGTACACACAGATACACACCGGGAGGGGTAGTGGGTGTAGGGTGTGAGACGACGAGAGACCGGATAGAAGAGAGAAAGAGAAGGAGAGATAGAATGGGACTTGGGTGCAAAGGAAGCAGAGTAGGGGCCGGGTAGAGGCGGGGGGCTCAATCAATAAAATGTCCCGCAGAAACGTTTTCAGCTCTTTACGAAATCTCCACGGTTTTTTCCCTTTTCCCTCGCCGTCCGCTTTCCACCCCCGCCGACATTCCGTTCCACCGGCTTTCCGCTGCTTTCTATGCCGAGTTTTCCACCGCGTTTCCCCTACCTTCCAACCCTCCTTCGTTGTTTCTCCCGTTAAACATTACTTTCGAGAACTTCTGGAAGTAGTTCGACACTTCCGCCGAGACATTCCGTATAATCGAGTCGGCTGGTAATATCGTTGCGGATTATCAACGGGGAGTCTCGCCGCGGAATACATGAATCCGTCGCTACGCTGGGACAAACTGGGCCAAATCTTTGTTGTTCTTTCGTTCTTTGCGAAAGTTCAGACGGCACCGCGTTTCCGCGGCGTAGGCGGGCACCTTCCGCGGGACAGGATGGCGCGTTCGACGTTTCGCGATCCGAAACGTCGGGACAAGCGATCGTATTCCTAAATACTTCGATCGCGGGACAATCGAGGGAAGTTGGGCAATTTTCTTGGCAGAACTGTTTATTCGATTTTCATAATCTCTGCTCGAGATGGGGTTTTCCGGGAGCGTTCGGCGCCATTTTCGTGATTTATTGGACCGTTCGCTGAGAATACATTCCGGCCGCCGTTTAACGACGAGCATACCCGTTTGAACGATCAGCGACACGATCTGCCAAGAAAGTTTTCGACGATTGTCGTCGTGCGATGCTCACTATTTTCATCGTTAACACGCAGAAGCAAGTTGTCCAGCGGCTGCGCAAAGAGGTCGAAACGTTCAAGGCGGAGAACGTGAACGGAGCGAAAGTTTCCATAGCGTCGCTCCTCGGGTTGAACAACAATAATCACATTACAAACAACAACGAGACGAAGCTCAAGAGCGCCGGCAATGACTTCAGTACTAAGAGCTCGAAAGAGGACTACGAAGAAATTGTTAGGAACGGGGATGTACCTTCGCCGGCGCAGGACACTGTACCAAGAAAGTGAGTAACTTTAACAGTTAACACGTTTAACTGAAGCGAAATGTTTTCCTCGAAATAATGTTAGATATAATGGTAATAGAGTGGACGATATTTATATTTTGATGAATTGTTTTTCAGGGAACGCCCGAGTTCTGTGGAAACAATTTCTGGTGAAGATGATGTTATCGAAGTTTCCATGGACGAGAACTCGAACGAAAAGTCGGAGAAAGAAGAATCGGAGAAGGAGTGTAAAGTCGAGTTAACTGAAAAGATCAATTTCTTAAGCGCTCTTGGTCTTATCACGACTTCAACATGTGCCGAGTTGCAAAACAGAAGGGCTGAGAGAAAACGTCGTAGTACGGCCAATCCGCAATTCGTTTATTCAAGTCTTGAAGTGCCAACGGTAATACACTTTCGCACTTCGCATAACGAGCTTACGTTTTGATACGTTAGTATCCTTCCTTTTCAACTGTACTACTTGTATTTATTTTAGAAACGAAAAAGACATTCGTACCTGCAATCCGGAAATGTTCCTCAAACTCGCCAAACAACCGCACGTATGAACGGGCCTTCGCCTCCGCCTGTAAAAGCTGCACCGCCAAAATCTACGTCACCACCGACGTCAAGGACTGTGATGAAGTCTTTGATCCCGGTTCAGAAATCCACCACACGACCGAATATTCTTAGAAACGTGACAGACAGTAAAGTTTATACCAACAAGGCCAAGGTTGAAAATGGTCCCAGTCAGATACAATTACCTGTCCCCACTATGAAATCTGTTCAATCGATTGGTAATAAGGCTGTTCATATACCAGGCTTGCCTTCCAGTTTAACTATCGAAAGAATCAGTAATGATTCAGCAGTCTGTATAAGCTGTAGGAATCCAGGTGCGTTAGAAAGTTCATATTCTAGAATAGTGGTACGAATATTTAAAAGGGCCTGAAACCCTGATACACGAATGTTGTATTACGATAGGTACACTTACGGTATGTGAAAATTGTGCATCGAACTATCATGTATCCTGTCACTCTGTATCACCGGCACCGCCAAGGATATGTCCGAAATGTGCCCTGATAGAGGAGGAAGAGATCGAAGACGCTGACGACGGGGAAGAGGAGGAAGATGGAGGACGCCCGATGTTCAAGAAGGACGAAGAACTCGGTAAATCGTCCTTGGTTTTTGAAAGGGTTTTTACTTGTAGTAACGTTGATCGTGTGATTGACAAAAAAGTTCTTGTTTCCTGCAGACACTAGCTTGTTATGAATGTTCGTGGCACGCTTATCTCATTTCGCGGTGGCACCGTCCGGGATTTAGTAAATGTATCCTACATACAGCAAAGACGTTATCGGTTGTCTTCGATAATCGAACGTTGGCGTGTACATTTGGATGGTGAAAGCAAAAAGTTTCGTAGTTAAAAGATAGGATGGCGGGAAAAGAGAGAAAGATACTTGTAGATAATACAGGCACGTTGTTCCAATGATAAGCAGGAAATTGTGTAACATGGGTCCACAATTTCTAGATTTAACGTGCAACGAGGTATCGCAGCGTTGCCGCAGACTTTATTGAACGTAAGCACACAGAGAGAATAAACGAGAGAGCAGCCTACCGGGAGAAGTGTCCGCGAGTGAGACCGGCTCCTCGAATACGGCTGAAGGATTTGCAATTAAGAAGAACTTTTTGGTCGATCGTCAGTAATAGGGCACAAAAAAGCAACGTGTATTGAACGCGAAATATCTTGCAGAGGAGAAAGAGAGAGAAAGATATGAGCTGCGCGAGCGAAACTCGGATCTGAGATTGCAGGTTTACGAGTTGGAAAAACGCTCACAACTACTCGGCCAATCACTTCAGGTTCGTCCTGTGGCCTGCGTAGAATGAAATTCATAAATCTTTTATTTTCATTTGGAATGCCGTTCGATTATTTAATGAAACTAAACATTTTCTATCTCTTTTGTTTTTTCATCAGTGAGAACCTGCAAGATCTCTACGTTTTTTCTTATCTTCTTCGTTTCCAATATTATTTTTCAAAAACATATCGATTTCCTTCAAAATTGAAACCCATACTTTTAGTTCTCTGAAAAATCGATTTGTTTCTGAGGTTGTGTAACATCTGTTAGCATATTTGCCGTAGAGTCTATGTTATATATACGCAAAGACATATATGTATATATATATATAAATTAGTCTTCTTAAATTAGATTGATCGTTACGTTCAATGTGTGCACTATTCGTCTGCAGCAACAGTTTTATCCGTTAATCCGTGAAAACACGGAATGCACGATGCTTCCTTCACAAACAGTTTAGATCTTAACATCATTAAACGAGTGTTCGTCTTTTATTCTCGAATTTGAATTTTGTGTTGGTTTTGCATTTTTAGCTACAAACATAGCTATTTGAATCGGATACACAAACCTAGATTCGTGTGCGAAAGACATGTTCAAAAATTGCGTGTGTGTGTGTGTTACATAATCAAAAAATATTCGAATTCAATCTGTTCGTTACGTCGTATATTATTAGCATGCGCATCTTCGTTCCAGTATTACAAGTTAGAAGATCAACTTAAATTTTATGTTTCAATTTTGTTTTCGGTTCTCGCAGAGCTATTTGTTCGCTTGATTAACGGTATGATTTTTCTTTCAACAGCTACAACATCGCATGCGCCAGGACTTATTAGGAAAGCAAGAGAAGACGCAGAGATCTATAAAACGGCTTGTGGACTTCATAAAACTGATGCAGCTCAGAAAAAGCGGGGATTCTCCTCCGCCATCGGCATCAGTCAATTACCCTCTTCGACCTTCCTCATCCCAATCTCCTCAAACAACGTCTCTTCATCAACCGTCAACCAGTCGGATGTCGGGTCTTCCACAACAATCACCGAGCAACGAGAAAACGTGCCCTACTCCTCCATCGTCCTCAATCAGTTGCCCCGATCGAGCATCGCCTATATTGACCGGTCAGAGCCTCAAGTGTCCTACGCCTATCAGTTACCAGTCAGCAGTGTTCAATCAGAAAAACATCAGTCATACCTCATCGTCAAAAAAATCACAGAACCACCAAGACGGCCAAGTCAGTCTTCCGATGACCAAAGTCACGGCGCAATGCTCAACTATAAGCTGCCAACCACATCAGGGTACAACCCCCGCGTTCAGGCCGAAATCTCTGTCGCCCAGTCCTCTGTGTTCGTCGGTAAGCAGTTGCCCGACGTCGTCGATCGTAACCGTAAGAAACAAACAAACCGCGCAGTACCCGCTCTCAACCGTATCATCGACACCGAAAACCTCTCCATCACGGCAGAGTATCAGCTGGAACGTGCGACCCTCAACGGCCGGAAGTCCCGGGCTAGGCAAGCAAGGAACAAATTCGGTATTAACCAGCTGCGATCCGCTAGAGCCACAGAAATCTTATTGCCCGCCTACGATAATACAGAATCCGATAAACAACTACAAATCACAAAATCAACCGAGCCAGAAGAAACAAGCGTGTTCGGTGGTCGTTCGAAATACCGGCCAAGAACCGGTGGTCTTCTCCACTCATTGTTCGCAGGCCATAACAAGTCCTATATCATCACCGATAATTCTCGAGAGTCACGAGACTTCGGCACAGTTGACAAAGATACCGTCGTCTGTCGGCAACAGTTGTATCATCAAGACTACCAGCTGGAGTCAGTCGAACGAAACGAATCTCCTGTCCAATTGCAACGCGGCGCCCTCACAAAATTCTTCGAGCACGTGAAATTGGAAGAAGCGCATATACCAGCGCCATCTAGAGCAAAGCTAGTATACAAAAGCGGCACTACTTCCGAGAGGAATGAACTTGATATCAGTGAAGTCGCGGATGAGGATACGAATAGCAACGAGTACGTTGGCAAAACACCCTTGTCGTCCGGTAACATTGACGAGGAGTATAACGATCGCGAGGTCAAGCAGACCAGCTGGCTAGCAAATAGAATCGCGATGAAGAAGAATCAACGGAACGACGCCGGTAATAAGATAATAGATTCGTTTGATCCTGTACCGAGTTCGGTAACTAGAACAGCCGATATTATTACGTATGAACGTAAACGTCCTAACCAGTTTGTGAGGGTCGAGTGCGAGCCCGATGACGATGAGGATAATGCACTGGTCGGAACATTTCAGACTGACGTAACTTATCCGAGGCGTATCGCATCTCTCGCGGAAATTGTATCGGACAATCGAAGGGATCGGCAAGATTCGGCGTCCCTGTGTAACGCACAAAGCAATTTCATGGAGCTTCGTAACGAGGTCTCAGTTCCTGACGATAAGGCTGACACCGAGAGACAAGACTTATCCAGTGGCAGACGTTCGACCAGCAGCAGCAGCGGTAGCAGCACCAGTGACAGCGATACTCCGGAACAAGCAATGAACGACACTATTAAGTATTCACGGCGACGATTGTCCGGAAACGAGTACAAGGAACGTTTGGGCATTAACGCTGTATCCCCGGAGAGTATGCAGGTGCTCGAACAGTTCGAGTCGGCTATGCTGGAAACTGAATGTAGCAATGCTGCCACTTGCTAGAGTTAGTTAGATTAGGATGTGGTATTAACGTGCTGATCATGTTCATTGCTAGAACTTTTTTCCTTTCACTGAATAATGATAACGGTCGATTATTTTGTATCAGACAGTAAGGTTTCGCGCGTGGCGTGCGATTACGTTCGAGAAACTTCGTTGAACGTATATTTTCAGGAGAAATTCGGATCCGTACGTGTTTCGTACTGCATTTGAGTCCGTTACTTATCTAGGATACCTAAAGGAAAAGAAAATTAGGTTATTTGTAATGGCTACTGAGCTTCTTAGGCAGTTCCTACTTTCCGTACTGCCTTCAGAGACAATGCAATTGATTGTTATATCGACACTAATCACTGTTTCGTCGATAACGATGGTAATTAAGTACCATTTACGTTTCACTCTCTACCAAGATACGTATAATTCACGACTTTTATTCTATTAGATACGTTGTCTGTTCGTTTATTTATTAATTGTTGTTCATTAGGCTTTTTCGTGATAGTTTACGAACCTTGAGGACCAAGTTCGAATTTCTTACAGTTTGAATCACGTTTAATTTCACCGGAAATTAATGGAGATCCTAATTCGCTTGCGTGCGATACACGCATTCATCTGTCCTTAATGCTCACAGACCAACGTAAGGAACTAATGTGCACAGTAATTTCCTTTGAATCACCTATGGAAACGTCTTATTGAGTTTTAGCGTTTAATATCTCTTTCGTTGATGTTCACGAACCAACAGTGTAGAAAACACGCACATATCCGACAGATTATGATCTGTGAGAACGTAGAAAGACTTGAAAATGAAGTCTACGTACGTAAGCTGAGTCATATTACCATACTGCCTTAATAGTAATTTAAAAATGGTACTTTTTACAATAATTTCTACGGATAAGCACGTGACGTGTGTACGACTCAATAGACTGATTTGGACGTCGCCATATTGAAATTAAGAGGCATGACGGAGAAAAGGAAAAGGATAATCAAAACTCGTTACCGTAATCGAAAACCTAGGCGTTAAGGTTGCGTGTACGTTAATAAGTAGATGAAACGTTATCAGAGTAACGTATACCTTACTTTTAC